TCCATCCCATGGCCTGCTTTTGCACAAAGCTTGAAATGCTTGATGCTCAAAGGCAGAGAAAGATGCTCTTCCATTGCCAGCCCAAAGAGCTTTTGTGTATGGACTGGTGTGTCTTGGCAGTTGAAAAAATATCTTAAAAGACTTCAATTATTTTTTGGACAGTATGAAAAATTGAAAAGTTGAATCTAAATTACATCCATAGCACTATTTGGAAGAGATAACTGTGAAGGGGGGAGGGAGGAGTAAATGATTGTCAAAGATGTATCTTTTTCAGCATTTGACCTATGTAAACACATAACCTAAGCAGGACCTTAATACAGGTATTTAAAGATATACTTACTATAGATTCAATCATGGGAAACACTGAAGATGTCTATGGCAAATTGCAAGGATTGCTAAATGTAAATTCAAGAAAGAATGCAGAACTGCTCATGAGTGATTGGAATGTAAATGTTGGGACTAATAGAAGAATCCCACAAGGTTGTATTGGCTAAATGCAGTCATGCAGGACCTAGGGCAGTAGTTGTTTTTTTTTTCAAAGAAAAATCTTTATTATTAGCATCTACTAAGTAACAAAAGAAGTTTGGCTAGCATTGAATTAAGCTGTCTACATGGCACTTCTGGGCAAGAAATGATCGACTGAAGATGACTCCATGAAACATAGAGCCAATGACTGTGGTAAAATGAAGAGATGGCAAGCAAGACCGGCTCTTTAATCATTTCTGATCCATTTATGTTGTCCAGTTACCCAATTTCATGTACTAGATATGTAGTTCAAGACATTGATATCTTATCCTTGAGAAATTAAATTTTGGTGCACTATTTATATAATCCAGTACTTTCTTTCCAAACTTCATAAGTATAGGGCATTGTAAAAAATCTGTATACCGTACTTCCTTTTCTAAACATTTTCAAAAATTGCTCATTAACTGCTTTTCAACTATTAGGAACTTTTGGATTGGCAGCTTTTATAGCAAGGATGACTTTCCTTCAATCCTTAGCAAAAGAAGTTTTAAATATAAGTTTAAGGACACATACACACAAACACCCTAAGGATTGTAAAATCGAGTTTTAAACACCCTTTTGCTATATATATTTCTTTCTTTGTTCAGAATGTGCATAGTTTCCCTCCCTATTTTCCACTAGAGGGAGCATTTATAATTCCTTCTCAAAAAGAGGCAAAGGACTCTACAAAGAACCACTTGTCTTGAGCAGTAGGAGCAGATATTCTACTCCATCTGTTGTTCCCTTGTCAAAGTTGGAAGTATTTTGTCTAAAGGATAGATTGGCCAAGATAAAATAATGTCATACATAAAATTTTAAGGAAAGCTCATATTTGGGCAAAAAGGATGCTTTGCAAATAATCAAGACTTTTAAAAACTAAAGCATTCCAGAATAATGGTTGAAGATACTGAAGTTTAGGAGTATTAAGAAACAAAACAAAAAGCCTACTCTTTAGAAAATGGGATGAAACATAATAGTTCTATATGTATAAGTCGAGGTTCAGATATATATTATAAATATTTCAAACATATTATTTTCAAAACTTTGGCTGCTTCTGTGTTCTGATAGAATGGAAGGCAAGTATTCAGTCTCCAAATGCATGAAATTTTAAATAAAGCAATATATAACTTATTGATGCATTTTTTAAAATCAAAGTAGAATACTGGGTAAATTCTAGGAAATGTAATGACTGAGGTAATAATAGTGATTCTCTAAAAATTATTGACTTAACTGATGTCATGGATAGGCTAAAATTCTGGATCTGGTTATTGTGGTTGCATAACTTAACATTGTGGATCTGTTCTCTGGGAAATGATGCATTTTTCCGACTATAAAATGTTTCATTTTGGATACTCCCCAGATGCAACATTTCTATGTCCTTTTCTTGCTCCTAACAAAAAAAAAATGCAGTCTTGAAGTATAAGATTCTATGCAAAAAAGAAAAAAAGAAGGGAAAAGTATCCATAATGTAGAATTGTCTTCACTGAAAATTTTGCAACATTATGCAGTATTGGAAAAGATACGATAGATCCAATTTAAAATGCATGATCCAAGTTCACAATAGAGACTGAAGTTGGAATGATTGAAATCAGAAATCTGCCAGTATTTTGGCTCTGAAAATGGAAAACAGATAGGAAAAAATCCAGTAGTCTTACAGCAGGAAAATCTTTAAAATTATTTGCTATTATAAGTAAAAATTCAGGACTTGAAGATTTGGCTTCAGGTAGAATGACAATAATAAACCATGAAATGAATAACTATGATGGAATCTTTTTCTTGTTTTTACTATGATTTGGGATCACATTTTAAAATAGTTTTGAATGACATGTAAGATAGTATAATAAAGGAACTAAAGTCCTAACTTGTAATTTGAACATTTTATAATTTTGCACCCTACACATATAAATGCATTGATATATAAATAACATTTATTGGAAATAGGATGCATGAATTTATAAAAATATTTTATGGAACCAGAAAGACTAGTTTTTAATAATTAAAATAATTAAAATATAATCTGTCATTATATAGTAATAATTAATATTCCATCCATTCTACCATTGCAGTGTATCTCTCTCTCTCTCTCTCTCTCTCTCTCTCTCTCTCTCTCTCTCTCTGTATGTGTGTGTTCATGTGTAATGTTGATTTAGTATTTCTTTGGTATTTCAATATTTTTAATTTCTATAATATTACTGCTTAAAAGTTCTACACTTCTATAATACTGCTTAAAGTCAGTTTGATATAGTGTTCAATCACGTCCCTGGCTGTTTTTGTGCCTGCTTGTCCAACAATCTTAGTAGCTGCAAAATTGAATTTGTGTCCTTGTTCATTGCAGCGTGAGGCTACCAATGTGTTTGGATCTCCTCATTTGACTGTTTTTCATTTTATGTTCTTTTATTCAGATATCAATGCCCAGTGCAATATATTTCCATTCCATGCATGAACTTATCTTCTCAGCAAATGAAATGGAATTTTGAACATTTCCCCAGGGTATCTTTGCAAGTTTAGCAATAGTAATATCCTAAAGAAAATACACCTACTTAAAAAAAAAAACTGGTGAAAGCAAGCAGTGTAAGGCTTTAGGAATTCTTTTCACCCCCTTAACCAGGAGTCATGTAGGTGCATGGGCATGTGTCTGTACATCCATTCACATTTTCTCCAGGGAATATGCAATTATGTGAGGGTCTGATCAAAGTGGGTACATATATACCTGTAAGGTATAATCTGGAGAGGCTTCCATTTGTGGCTATGACTTCCTACTGTTTTTGTATCTGTATGCATATACTCTATGCACTAGGAATCGCAGAGTACTGTTACCCCGGAAGGAGGAAGGAGAGAAAAGCTTATAGTGACATCCATTTCCCAAGCTGATGTCTAACTGCACTTCCCATGGAGATGCATTGGGAACATTTTTTGGATACTTTTTTTTCTGTAGTTTCCATTGAATTCCATCCACTTTCAGACTTGATCTTTTTCTACCAGTGTCTTATTTTGCATCAGATTTGGTCCCATCTGGTCAGAGAGTTACCCCACAGGTAGATACATAGTCAGCCAGACAGAGATGTATCCAGAATCCTGAGTACCTTCACTTTCATAAAAAAAATTCACAGTACAGTATGTGCATGTGTGGATTCATATGCACAGAAATAAATTTAAACATAATTACTATAATTTTAGCAGAAAGAGAATACAGCTTATAATTGTGGAGAAACCTTAAGTCAGGTGATTTATGGGTCTGCTCAGTTTGTTCTCCAGATAATAATGGTTGGACAACTGTTCTCCTAATTTTTATTTCTAAAAACTCATTTCATTGACCGTACGTGGACTGAATAGTAAAGAACCAAGACGGGCAATTGTTTTACACTGGAAGTTTCAATCTCCCAGGAATGATTTGCTGTGGACTCTTGTTTTTTTTGGTTGGTAGGATGCAGAAGCAAGCTAAGGGAATACCATTCCCACCCCCAAATTGGGAAATGAGAGGACATCAGAAAAGAAGGGCAGGGCAGATAATCTCCAGTCCAATATGCTGAGGCAAAGGAAAGCTGCTTAGTAATGCATTTCTTAGAGACCAGGACTGAAGCAGAATCTAAAACAGACACATCAAACTCCAGGTCTGGGGGCTGGATGCGGCCAACGAAGTGGTTTCATGTGGCCTGCGAAGCCATCCTGAAAATAGTGAGGGAACGGCCCCCGCTGCCTTAGCCCAGGCCAGCCGGGAGCCAATGTACAATTTTGTGGTGGCCATCTTGGCACTTGCCCCAGTGGACCATGCCTTGGCACTTGCCCCGGTCCCACCCCCTTCTGCCAGAGACCCTCAGATCTGTCCCATTCCTGCCCAGGCCCCATAGGCACCCTTGACGCGAATGATGTAGAACTGGCCATGCCCACTCAGTAGGCCACACCCATTCCATCCACGCCCACCCAGTAGGCTGCACCCACTCTGGCCACACCTACCCACCCCCAGGGCAACTGCAGTGCTGATGCGGCCCTCAGTGAAATTGAGTTTGACACCCCTGATCTAAAAGATTTGGACACAGAAATCAAATTAAAATACATTTTGCACTAGTTCTTATTATTGGGATGTGGGTTTTGGTTTGAGCCTAGGAGAAGACTGTTTCCATAGTTGCAGCATGGCTTCAGCCCCAGTTAGTACTCATTCATTGTTTTGAGGATGAAATTATTGTTAACAGGATTATTTCTATTTTTATAAACTTAATCCATCTTTTAATTGCCAGTGTAATAATAGTAACCTGGCATACACAAACATATACACAAATAAACACATATGTGTGTATGTGTGTGCATTGGGTTGCTATTATTAACTTATTAACATATTAACTATGTATTATGTATGTATGTATGTATGTATGTATGTATGTATGTATGTATGTGTGTTCTTTTTCTTTCCAGGAAAAAATAGCAGGCTTTTGTTCTTGGAATGATTCAGGTTCTTTGACAGAACATTAGTAGCAGCAACAAATTGTAATATATAAAAACATACTTTTATTAAGACAAGTGAATGTCTATGAAATCACTGCAGTTTTTGAGAGTCAAAAACTCTTCATTAAATGAGAAGAAGTGAGAGGAAGTGAGAAAGGAATGTAGCTGATCTCACAGCCATGACCTTATTAGGTTTTGACCTGGTTGAATGATGGAGGGCCTCCAGACATGCAGAAGCGATTCTTATCAGACACACAGAGTAGCATATGTTCTGGTTAAAGATCTCCAAAGCTTGCTGTAAAAAAGAACCACAAGGTACCACACATGACATTTTGAAATAGTTTGGAAGAATGCAATCATGATTCAACTTTGTTAATCTGAGACAATCTATACAGACGATAAAATGGTAAATATGAGGAAAATAAGGCATTATTTGGCTTGTGCTTAGATAAATTTTAATGCCCAAGGGGAAAAATAATTTCCTCAAAAAACCCAGAATGTTTTAGGAAGCCAAACAATCTGTTGCCTGAAATTATTTGTCCAACTAGCCCAAAGTGATCTGCTGCCTGTGACTTTCCCACAGGGAAAAGATGCAATTACTAATGGCAAAACATGCAGAGAGTTTTCTTTGTCCTCGCAGTACAAATTCTGAAGTACATTTAGAGCTTGAATATAATAAACTGCAGAACTGTAGAAAGCAAATGCATTGCCAAAGGGAAAGAAGAAGAAGAAATATGGTTGCATACCATGAGCATATTTGTAGACACACACACATATTTCTGGTCAGGAATAGCTAGTATAACAATGATGTCAGTCTGGGCAAAGATGTTTGGCCCTCGAAACTCTGTATGAATAAAAACAAATGAGAATCAGGGCTGTTCTTGGTCATCTAGTACCTAAACCAATTCATGGTGGCTTTCAGCATATTTTTCTTGAGTGTTAGTTGTTATCAATACAGAACTGAATCCTCTTGGTCTACAACTGAGGCCAGGCAGGAAATTCTTTGCAAAAGTATTGCACAACGAAAATAATTTTCCTAGAATGACAATGTTTTGACAGGAGAGAAGCTGCCTCCTCCCCATCTCACCCTCCAACACCAGCTCCAGAATTTTCCACTGTAGCTGCATTTTGACAGACAAAAATTCCACATTAATCTGAGAGTATTCAGTGTCTTCTGGGCCAGCATAGACATGAAAATGTACATTGGGGTTCAGCAAGCTTGGCTGCAGTGAGTCTCTCTGCTGGCAGTGATGGGGCATTGCTGAGAGCAGGGAGGTCCTTTTGCAGAGCAGGCACATCAAGTTTTCTTCCTGATTTAGAACAAAAAATGTAATTCAGGTCAGAAGTGTGGAATTTCCTGTGGGATGGGAAACCTGATTCTTGACCAATTCTAAAAGGTTGCAATAAAGAGGACAAGGGTCGTTTGTTTGCCTTGACCGCTCTGGTTGGAAGGAGAAGCTATGGATTTAAATTGCAGGAAGGAAAGCTGGTTTATGGGATGCCTTTAAGTGAATGAGCTGGAAAAGGGATTAAGTGGAAATTTGATTTGTATAATTAACTTGCCCAGCGTCCCCATTATCTTGTACTAAAGTTTTCAGGTGGACAAATTCTTCTAAAACATTTTCCTATTCTAATTTAATTTGATACAAGAAAATAAGCTTTTGAAATTATTTTCAAAGGAAAAGAATCTTGGAGAAGATCTTCTGGGTGAGACCTGGTATTCTTGCTGGTATTCTTGTGGTGGTTGGACTATCAAGCTGGGAATCTTCACTTGTGCTCTGATTCAACTTGGTTAATTATTAATAATAATAGCAATAAATCTTCAAATCAAGCTGAGCTTCTTGTATTTACAACTTTCTTTGGATGATATAGAAGTGTTTGGGATATTTGTTTTCACTTTTCCATATTAGGCTACAGATTTCATACTCCCAGTTTGCTGTCCCAATATTATCTAGGCTTGATTCTAAACTACACCACTCACATGCAGACAATAAATACTAACAAATTCTGAGATCTATTGAAATATTGCCAAATATATGCTTCAGAGACTTTGTTGCAAGGAAAATCAAAGCGACTGTTATAGCCTGAACTTCAGAGAGGACTTTCTGAAATTGGAATCTAGGTCCATAGTTTATATAAAGCAAGGAATTGACTGTGCAAACAGAAGATATGCTTATATGTTATTGCCTGGTTCCTAATATGAAATAAGAGGACTTATAATTTCAGTCTATATAAATAGAGGAGAATCAATAAAGGAGCACTCTGTTCCAGACTTACTCTCATAGGAGAAATATGCCATTAAGGCATTGTACACTTGGCAGAAATTTTCTCCTGTATTTGCTGAAATTGCCTTGACCTTGTTTAAATTTAGAAGTATTCAGGTATAAAAAGTTTTAGACAACCTGTCCAGCTGCATGGTATCCAACCTTACAATATCTTTACAGGCGTGACATATATATAAAAAAAACAACACATACAAAACCATCTTTCCCCCTTCAAAGAAACCACTCCATATTAATACATTGTACTGTATGTATCCACATGGGATCACATGATTTTCCCATTTTAATCCATGGTTTCCTTATAAATGTATGTTTCTGGTTCTAGACCACAATGGTGGAATTCCTTCTCTGCCCCTTTGTGGTTGGTGCTGAAGTTAGCTTTTTGGCTGAAATAAAGACCATTTGTTTGCCCAGGCTATTGTCTAAATTAATGGTGCTGTGCCCTTTATTGGGTGTCTCTCATTGTTTTACGGCTTTTTTACTTCTATAGTTTTGTATGGCTTTAACTTGTGGAGTTCACGTTTGTTTCCATATACTTTGCTTTGGAATTACTTTTAATTACAAATGGACCAACCCTTGCTGGTTGAGGAATTCTGGGAGTTGAAGTTCACAAGTCTTAAAGTTGCCAAGGTTGAGAACCCTTGTTTTAGATGCATTTTTGTTACATAAATGTATTTTTAAATATTGTACATTGGTTAAGAAAGATTTGAGGTTATAAAATCAGTTCATAAATATTTTAATTAGAACAGAGGTATGATTAATGATTATGATTAATCTTCATTCAGAATTATAAGGGGAATTTTACTTGTAACAACAATAACAAGAGTTAAAAATACCTTTCCTACTGCCTATAACTACCCAAGCAGTTACATCTGCAAATCAAAATACAATACACAATTTAGGTACAAGTAGGCCGATCACTTGTAATGCTTTGTTTATTTCGTAATAAGATCAAAACCAAATATTTCAACAAATCCTGATTTACAATCTATACAATTGAATTTCTTAGCTCTACACATGTCTTAAAATATGGAATGGATTTGGTTAATTAGTTCTGCATGAATATTCTGTTTGGGATAAGCCACATGTAAAAAAAATCACTTTAATGGAGGATAGACTTTCAGCCTCATCTTTCAGCACAATCATACAGTTAGGTCTTTGATTTATCATTTTGAAAGTCTTCTGTGCCTCATAGGGTAAGCCACAGAGAAGTATTCATTTATTCTGAGAAATTGTCCACATTAATATTTTCTTGTCAACAGTTCAAGATACCAATAAAGACCTTTTCTTCCTGAACACTAAAAGCAAAGTTAGGTTTGCTGATAAATTAGTTGGCAATTCTGTTTGGGATACTATTTTTAAAAAACATGAGTATTAAGAGTTATAAGAGCATCTTCTGTTAAAAATTAATGTATTCATTTTAAAAGTATGTATTTTGTGCATGTACAATACACAAGTCACTGGCAGTTTGGCAATACATAAATGTAATAAATTATAATTATAATGCAAATGTGCATATATTGTTATGTACTTACATATATATGAAATGGTGTGTATGTGTGTGTGTGTTGTGTGTGTGTGTACAGAATTTACTGAACTTCCCAAATGTTTCTGTTGGGGCTACCTTTGGCTTTCAGTGGGAGCTAACACAATAAAGTTTGGAAAATAAGATATTGGGTAGCATGTAATTTGAAACACTTGACAAATACTCCAACTTTTTCCATCTGTTAAGCAATTGGTATGCTATGGATTGCAGTGCTTCTTTTGGCTAAATATAGTGACACATTCAATGTGACTCAGTAGTGTTGCCATGCCAGGTTTTGACCCCATTCACCGTAGTATCACAGCTGTGTCAGCAGGATCCAAATGAAATTGGTCCATGCACAGAAAATAGCAGACAATGTCTTGGCTATTGTGTGCTATGCATACGAACATTTCTTACAGTTAGATATGAAAGGCTGCCAAACAGCTTCTTTGTTGCAGAAGCAAGTAGTATTCTCCTCTTTGGTTACTACTGTTAGAAATGATGGTAAAAAGATTGACCCTATTTGGGCCTCTCTTCTCTCCATTTTGCTGTACAGATCTGCAAAGACTTGCATCAATGTCATTTTAATTACACATTTTTGAGATGCAGCTTTCATCTCTTTTGAGATCTAAGCTACTAACCAAATATGCTACAGGTATCAAATATCTGCCTTTGAAAAAAAGGTCTTGGGTAAACTACAGATCTTCATAGGAGTTCCCAGGAGTTTAACAATACCAAGTCAAATTACATATTCTCTTGCCATTGCTATTTAACTCTCAATTATACCCTACCTTTTTGAAAATACTTTTTTCCTGGGTCTTTGTGCAAATGAATAGGTCAAAACTGCAACCCTTGATTTGTATCTACTCAAACACAGTTATCAGGGTGTGAATGTTTTGAACATCACTGGAAGAACTGTGTCTGGAAAAAAAAAGCGATGTTGCTGCTTTAAGAGTTGGATAAATGAGTATATTCATTAAAACAGCAACATCAAGCTTGCCATGCTTTACTGAGTAGTAGAGAGGTGCTATGTCAAAGTCCAAAACAATTTTCCTAATAATTTTTGAAGTCTGCAAAGCTCCAGAAACATACAGGCAATATTATATATTTCATATGGGATGCAATAGGCAGTTTGGTTCATCCCAATGTTGCACATAACTCAGATATTTCCCTACAACTGAATGAAAGTGCTACCTTCCAATCTCTGAAGTAACAGAAAATGATATTAGCATAACATTTGCTGCATCTACTAGTGATTCCAGCTATAAGCACATGCCAACAAATGATACTGTCTTTGTTTATACATGCAGGGCACAGCAAACAGAGGGATTCCCTCAGCTTCGCTCTCCTCCTTTTTTTTTATTAAAAGTTTTATAAATTTATTACAATGTAAACCCCCCCTCCCCCCCTCCCCACTTCCCAGAGCTGATTACAGGGTAAAACAAAATAATAAACAAATACAATCCAACTAACATAAACCAACTATACTATCAATCAAAACCATAAGACACTTTAACTCCTTCTCAATACAAATATTAACAAATTAAGTCAAAAATAGTAATATAATTAAAACTATTAATAATTATCTAAAATCTACTCAAAAGCGAGATAATACTTTTCAACTTCATATTTATTCTGAATATAATCAATCCATCTTCTCCAAACCATAATATATCTTTCTTGTGAATGGTCCTTCAAATAGGCGGAGATCTTCGCCATATTTGCTAAATTAGACACTTTAAGTATCCATTCTTCCAAAGTAGGCAACAATTTTTTCTTCCAATATTGCTCCACCAATAATCTTGTAGCTGTTAAAAGGTTCAGCATCAAATTAGTTTCTTTAACATCAAAATCTACAGTAATACCCAACAAAAATAATTGCGGAGTAAACTTAATCTTTTTCTTAAAAATATTTTGAATATTCCACCAAATCTTAATCCAAAAAGCTTTAATATCTTTACAAGTCCACCAAATGTGAAAATAGGTTGCATCTAGGTTTCCACATCTCCAACATTTAGGCTGTAAATTCGGATACAT